TTGTCGGAAACTGACGAAAATCAGGGAGATCTGCGGGAGTTTACGGGGACGAAAATCTCACTTTTCATGCAGTGATAGGAAAAGATTCCACATGTGTAGTATTTCCCAAATATGAAAAACAAGGGAAATATTCAATTAGAAACGCACCTGGGAATTATAATTTGCAGTGAAGCTTATTTTTTCACATTTCAATTTGTAATAATTAGATCCTGTAGTAATATTTAGAAACCATAAACCTAACTCTTGTATTAGGAAATGTTTATTATGAGGTTATGTGACTTATTTCTTTTTCCCCACAAGTAAAACACGTTTTTGTGATATGTTATACCTTTTTATATAGGTACATTCCTGTAATGAATTAGAATAATATTTAATATATTTATTTCAGTAACAACTTATGTGAGACATGTGAGACATACCAATCAATTTGGGGAAAGGAGACACATTCAGCAGAATCTTTAAATCCTATTGGCTGAAGCGGCATCTAATGCCTACCTAAAGACGTTTGGTTTTAGCCAGTCATGGTAAAAATAGAATAGCCGCAAATGCGATGAGAATCCACAATAACTTTTACACTCTTGCTGTTCCTCTTTTAAATTTAAAATCCGTGGTTTTGATAAAATGCGATGACAGCAATTACCTATAAGTCCTCCTGTGCTGCCATGTTTATTTTAATTTAGCCATAACACTGCAGTTTGATTGGCTGACCCACTTTAGGTCAGCCTCAAACAGTTGAAGTAGGAAAGGAACATGATGGATTTCGTAAAAATACTGCCTGAGTTCAGCTTTTGCAGGCAAGATTACCTGTATTTTTCCTGCCTTGGCTTTCCATTTGAAAAAACAAGAGTGCAGATGTTTTTCAATCTGTAATAAAACAGTATGGAAAATTGTTTATGAATTTTATTTTAAGTTTCCATCTTCGCTCTTAATAAATGATACATAGTGAATATATGAGACAAGTTGATAAATAATACATTAGTTAGCTCAGTAAAACACTCATAAGATCAAAGTTTTTAGTAACTCTAAAAAGTGCTTTTTTATTAGAACCATCCTCAAAGACATAAAGCTGGATAACGTTCATTCATGTCTGGCTTATGTTGGCTCTGTGTTTCTGCTCAGCTGAGGTCTGCAGGAGCGGCTGTAATCCAGGAATTTTTCCCCCGGGTCTCCTCCATTGCGACGTTGGATATTACCGACAACGGTACAATGAAGCGTTGCAGCTGTGCATCCTGCTGTGACCTTAGCTTTTTGTCCCTTTTAAGGAGAGCACTGAACACCCTGCTGATGGATCACGCCACACTAAACCCTGTGTATTTGTGTGCCTGTGTCTTGACAGGCCTCGATGCAGACTTGCTCACAGTGCTGCCTGCCATTTCAAGACACCCTTCCCTAAAACACCTTCATCTGGGCAAGAACTTCAACATCAAAAACAGGTGCTGCCTGCGCTCCATTTCACGCTGTACTGCAGTTATTTATGGCTGTTCTGTGTTTGTGAGGATATGTGCTGCAAATGTCAGCTTGAATAAAGAGATCTTTAATTTTAAGACTTTTTTTAAGCAGCTGCCATTTTTAGGCAGGCAGCTCAGGAGCAGTAAAAAATTAACTTGCACCCTCCACGTTTGTGTCTTTCTATCCATGGTCTGTGTCTGCAGGGTTCTGGATGAAGTCTTGCAGAAGCTGGTTTCACTCATCCAGGAGGAGGAATGTGTGAGTGATCACCCAGGATCTCAAACATTCTGTTACATTCATACATCAGGTTATTTGACCCTGTTTGACATAAGTTCAGATCAGTTACATCAATTTTAAAACATACGTTTAATTAAAGTATACTTTCCTTTGCAGTTAAATCATTTTACTTGATTTATCTTTAATTTATTATGTTTCACAGTGTGATGATTTATTGCTCCAGCTCAGTTAACATTGTAGACATAGTTTCTACATCACTGCTCACTGTTTTTTAATCTTTAATCTTTAGTCTCTTTAGTGTGAGCACTGCTTTACACTATGTGTGAGCATAGTGTAAATGATTTATGTATGCAGCATGTAAAGTCATGTTTGCAAGATTTCACATCAATTTGCAGTAAAATTCACTATTCCATGCTTCAACTTCTAATGTTCCCTATCAGGTTTTTTTTTTTTCTCAGCTTTGTTTTTTGTGCCCTTGAACCTTGCATGATTTTTTATTGTTTTCCTCCTCTGCCCCTGTAGGCCCTGCAATCTCTCTTCCTGGGGGACTCACGGTTGCGCTCCAGGGGAACTGTACTGGTCAATGCTTTAGGTAGCAACACCTGCCTTAGAAAAGTGGACCTGAGTGGAAATAACATGGATGACATTGGAGCCAAGATGCTTAGCAAAGCCCTGCAGATCAACACAACACTCAGGTGAAGGAAACAATGTAGAAAAAATTTTTGCTCCTGTGTTTTTACAGTGCTTGCAGTATATGGTGCCTTGCTGGGTTTCTTAACCATAGAAAGGTTTTTTTTATTATAAATTGTCACATTTTACAACCACAACCTTCACAAAGCAGTGCATGGTGAAGTACACTTTTTATAAGGCTGGTCCCTTATTTAGCTCCATTGAGCTGCCATACTCTTACCAGTTCTCCTATCTGTTTTAAAGAAAAGCATTCCCACTGCATGATAATGCCACAAGTATAGGTCAACTTAAGGATTGTGAGTTCAGCTTGATGATTATTATAAGTTTTCTTTCACAAATAGAGTTTTACATGTAGAGTAAATAACTCCTTTGTCATGTGATTTTTGATTAGATGTCCATCTTCAACATGTTTGCTGTGTTCCTAGCATAGTTTATGAGAATCTGAAAAGTGGACCTCAGAGGGCTTTCTTTAATGACGCCCTTTCATAACTTCACTTCATCAATGGGCGATATGTAAAGTGCATGAATAAAATATGTACTTTATGATTCTTTCCTCAAAGCCGAGTTACTTTAGGTCTCTTGGCTAATCTCCTGGTTAAGGCTCAGTGTTCATACAACTGATTTACTTCAGGAGTCAGTAACTATAACAATCCAAAGAGACTAAACAATATTTGTCCGAAGCCACAACACCAACATGGTCTTTTAGCAACAATTATGCTTCTACTTCTAGTAGAATCTTCAAGTCTTTAACATCAGAGACTGAATAAAATGTTTTGTTTAAAAATTCAAGCATTCACAGAAAATATTGAGATAAAATCATGAAATCTTAAATGCAACAAAAATAAAAGTCCACAAAGTTTAAACTTTGTAGGGCCAACGTGCAGCTAAATCATTACTCATAAAATTACCAAAAATATGATGAATTTTGTGGTTTTGATGTGACAAATTGTAAAACCTTCAGGGAATATGTATGCTGTGTATGTTTTAATCCCTGTGCAACCTGTGCAACCTACATTGCCCTGCAGGAGTGTGACATGGGATCGCAACAACACCTCTGCTACAGGATTTCTCGATGTGGCGAGAGCTCTTGAACAGTAAGAATTTAACAGGAGATTTGTTTGGTAGAGATATGTGGATTGTATGCTAAAATAATTAATAAGAGGTTCTGATGATTCTATAAAAAAGTGCCTCATTGGAAACCAGACATTAGTATTTGTACCTGTTTGCTATCTCATAAGACTCAGACTCACCCTAGGACCACTGAGGACATGGTTGCACAGATCAAACCATTACTCATTAGTTGCTTGTCAAAGGAGTAATATTCTGGGATGGACTCTGTCAGGGGGGTGTTATCCTTTTGCTAACCTTAAAACCTTTCTGTCAGTTTCATTTTTTTTTCAGTCTTTTTGAGTCATCTTTAATAACTTCACCCCCTTGTGCTCTTCTGCTCCCTCCTTTAGTAATTTTACCTTGCAGTACATGCCTCTGCCCATAAGTGACATTAGCCAGGCATATCGCAGCGCTCCTGAGAAGACAGAGCAAGCCCTCACTAAGGTGTGTCTGAAGGTTGGCTGATGGAAGGAAGACTTCCTAAAGCTTCCTTTAAAATAAGCCAGTTATAGAAAGCTGAATTTATGTTCTTATTCCAACACCTATAGATCGGTTTCTTTTCCATTCAAAAGTAAAATTGTGAAATTAACTTTTTTGTTTTAATTTTTTATTAAAGATGTTTATGTTTTAAACTTATAACTTAGATTGCATGCTAATAAATTACATTAAAAAAAAGTTGTGACAAATTTAGAGGCACGTACATATTTTTAATCGGCACTTAGCTTTAAAGATCTAAACATCTATTTAGTAATTTATTGACAAAGGTCACTTAAAAGACTGTTTATATGTAATTTTTTTTCTTCAATCCAGCTTTTATCTATAATCTGTAAAATGACTGAATTAACCTCATTTAATTTTTAACTTACTCTTTTCTGCCTGATTTATCTAACCGTGGTCACATCATGCCACTATGGCTCACAGATTCAGCGTGCTCTGGTCAGGAACAACCAAACACAGCGCTTCTCTCAGAGGCAGGCTCTGCGGCTGCACCAGGGCTTGGTCACTAGCACAGCCGAAAAGGTAGCATCTGTGAGGATGTTGCTGAAGTGTTTCATGAGTGTTTGTACCGCTATCTTAAACCTGCCCTGTTTGTTTCCAAGGTAATGGAGCGCCTTTGTGTGCGGGTCCAGCAACAGGTGTGTTTGTTACGGAGCGTTGGAGAGATGGAGGAGATTCAAGCTGCGAAACTCGTCCTGAAAGAGGCCAGGAACTCTCGAGCTGTGAGTGATATGAAATAAAAAAGTGCACTTTTTATGTTATTTAGTCTGAATTTGAATTAATTATCTCCATGATGTATTTCAAGCTCTACCCTTCATTGTGTGAGCTGGCTCATGTGCTGTCTGTGGACGGGCCCGTGCGGCAGAGACTGGACTCCCTGGCTGGGGAGCTCGCCAAAGCTGCAGATAAAGAGCTGCAGGTAGATCTAAGCGTCTCCTTTCACTTTGTGATCTGTAAGCGATGACAATGTTTGTGACAGCTGCCATTTGTTTCAGGTGATATTTGACTCCATGGTGTCACTCTGCCGCGAGCTCTGTCCTTTATCATCTTCTGCAGCAGAGAGATTAAGTCCTTCGCTCTCATCTGTCTCAGAGCGAGTGTCCATCCCTCGCTCTGCCATCCGCACTGCCCTCATGGAAAGAGCAGCACAGGATATTCACAGAGCTTTGGAGTAAGAGCCACAAAAAAAGTCTGAATTTGATAAGCAGTGGTGTTAATTTCGTTAACGAAAACTAAACGAAAATATTTTCGTCAACGCACATTTTTCACCGAACGAAAACTAGACGAGACGAGACGAAAATCCCCACTAATAAACAATAACTGGGAGTAAATCAGAAATAATTTTCGTGGACTAATAAAGACGAGACGAAAATGCAGTTCTGTAAATTAAGACTGGGCTAAAATCTATGGACATTTTAGTCCATGAACAAAGACGAGCAGAAAATTACATATTATTATTTTATGCTTTTTTCTAATCCTGTCTCCTCCTCCGCCTCAGCTCTTCCGCCACACACACACACCGAAACCTGGAGCGGGCAGCACAGAGTAGCCTACACAACACATGGAGCAGACAGGAGCTGGATTCACAGCGAGGCGGTGACAGGTTAAAAGTAAAACATGCTTTGCCCGGGGTTCGGGAGAAGGAGGAGACTTGATATATGGACACATTTTCGCTTCATTGAAGTGGAGAACAAAACCTAATGCTTGATTTTAGTCGAAAGGAAGGAATGTGGCCACATGGTAGCTGGAAAAAACACAACAAACCTGAAGAGACACTTCGCAGTTCACCACAAAGACATTACGGTAAGTTAACAGAAAGATTGGTGGTGGTTATTTATAATGTAACATTAAGTCAACGGCTATAATGTCCCAATGATAAACTAACTAATGTTGGCTAACTTTCATAGCATTTAGTATCCAGGCTGGCTACGTTACATTAGCTTCTTAGCACGTAGCGACCGTAGCCACTTGTTGATAGAATTGTATGTGAAATTAGATTTATGCTAACTTAGATATGTTATACTGGCCGGGCAACTATAGTTTCAGTTAAATTGCAAGTTTGATTAAAGCAGACAGACACTTTAGGTAATCTAGGAGCTGCAAGTGAACAAAAGTTAACACAAAACACCTCGGCAGCTACACATGTATGCTAAATGCTAAAACGAACTGAAACAATTTATCAGGATAAGACAAAATAAAAATAATATGCCACACATAATGCAGAACAACTTTAACCTAGATTTTCATGCACAAAATAGCCATTGCTAGGGTAATCACTGCAGGGATTGGGATGCAAACTCCCAATGTCTTTATTTGGTGACATAAAATGCTGCTCTGTTTATCTGCATGTTACTATTATAAGGACATTTGATTTGAATTGGCATCAATATTAATACAACCAAAATGCATGCACACATAAAAATTTCTGCAATTTATTCCTGCATAAAATGATAGTTAGGTTGTTTGTGTTGTGCAAAAATAATGTCCTGCAGATAATGAAGGCACCTTGTCTCCCCCTGGTGGTGGCTTCTGAAATTGCAGCTTAATGGTGTAGAGAAGGAGTGACTTGGTTTTTTTTTGTATTTAAAATACAAAAAAATACACCTGGTCTATTTTAGCAGTAGTAGCGTTTTTAGCTGTTTAATTAAAAGCAGTCTGGATGATTTATCTGTTATTCATATAACGGAAGTTTCAGTCTCAGGCCCACCCAGGGACGCCAATATGGTGTGCAGAAATAATGTCCTGCAGATAATGAATAGATGTGTCATGATGGGTTTCAGGGTGCTAGCCCATATGCACAACCAGGAGGCAGGGAAAAAGTTCAAAGGTTTAATGAATAATGTGAACAAAACAGGTCTGGGGGTTATCTGGTTCAGGGCAGGTCACGACTGGGTAACTGTTCAGGAGGTAGAGCAGAGCGGCAGAAGGGGGAACCAGGAGGGTTCACGGGCTGGCGGCAGGCTGTGAGCTTGGAGGAGGCAGAGCTTGGTTAGAGTCTGCAGATCACCAGGTTTGAGTTTCTCTTCCTGATTCTTCAGGGGGCAGGCTAGCAGATCTTTGGCAGGTTTGGTTCTTCAGGGTTCTCCTGAAGTCAGACGGATAGATCTCCAACAGATGGAATCTCCAGGGGTTTCTGGTTACGGGCAGGTTCAACCGAGACTGACTAACACTCTGGCACAGGAGTGTGGTCCTCAGCCCACTTAAATGCTGGTCTCCTGATGAGCAGATGAAAAACAGCTGGTGAAGTCAGCTCCAGCCTCAGGAGATCCAGTATGCCCTCTGGTGGAGAAAAGGTAGACAGAACCCCAGATCCCAACAATAACACAAAAATCCCCAGGAAGGGATCCTCGGCGCCCTTAGGTGGGCAAGCCTCAGGATCCCAACAAGATGGTTAACTAGAACTGGAGTTATAGTTAATTATTCATCCTATTCAACATCAAAGGCAAAATCAATTTAGTGTTCTTAGGTGGATAATTGTAGCCTTGAATTTTCTACTTACCGGGTTGCGGATCCACCTCTGGAGGGTTCCTGGACCGGCTGTTAAAATCCAGGTATCCACTAGTCTAGTGGCCCAGGTTAAGTTATCAGCAAAGCTATTAAATTATCAATAAAGAACCTTCTATCTCTGTTTATTTGCACTATTACCAAAAGGGGTGGATTTGCACCGAGTGATAAACCCTCCGTTATATGAACGACCAAAACCACTACAGATTAACCAATGATGTCTTCATTCTAATAAATCAGGATTACAGAAAATCTAACATCTATGCAAACACTACTCTCTACTAGAAAAATAAACACGAGGTAGATTAAATGACTAGTTTAAAAGAAAAATCGAAAATAAAGAATAAAACGAGATAGAAAACAAAGAAATAAAACCATAAGAGTCCGGTACTGGCGTCTGAGATTGTCCACAATATGCCAGATATTAATACATTCACTAGTGTCCGTTAGCAGCAGGTATGATGATAACAGTGCAATTACTCATGTAAAACTAATACATCCAACCTAAAATCAGCAAATGATTAATTGCATTAACCAACAGCAGCAGGTATTATGATAACAGTGCAATTGATCATGTAACACATTAACACATCCAGCTTAGTATTGGTAAAATTATTAAAAATGTATTAACAATAGCAGCAGAAATCGTTCAGCAAAACCCCTTTGCCTGACAATGTAGCGGTGTGTGAATGGGTGTAGCTAAATGAGGGACCTCCCCCCTTTGTTCTCCTTTGTGGTGAGAGGAACAAAGAGAAATGGGGGGAAGGACAATCTGTAATCAAGATGGCGGCAACCACGGGATCCCACGTGGCTGAATGTGATAACTTTATAACTATCTCAAAGCAGAAACAACAAAGAGGACAGGAAAGCACAGAAAGAGCATAAAGAAACACACACTTATTTCAACCAAATGAATAAACTCTTAATCAGCACAGATTAAAAAAACATCAGCATTAATTCAAAACCCTGAACCTACCTGTCTCTCACCTGAGCAGCACTTCGAATGTATCAAAAATGAAAGAAAATTGATTTTACTGTGAGATGCTTCGCCGTCCGTGGAAGATTGGCGTTTCCAAGGCAACCGCGGCTTGGTTTCGGCTGCGCAGAGGGTTCTTCGGCACCGATCCACCCCTCGGGAAAGTTCAGTCAGTTCGGTGCTACCGCAGAGGGCTTGATATGCTCACGAGTTGAAGAGGATGGATTTTGAGGAAGTAATCGGCAAAAGAGCGTCCTCTCAGCCAATTCATCCAAAGAAAGGGGAAAACGAAACTCACTTCCAGTCAGCTTTCTTCTGGTATTTCACGTGAAACGAGTCTCTCCTGGCGGGCTCCAAACCCATGGAAAAAGAGGCAGAGAAATGTCTGCTGCTGGGTCTTAAACCATGGGTGACACTGGAGCACTTCCTGTGGAAGTATCGGCTGATTGGTCTGTGCCATGAGTGGCATGGGGGGACTTCCTGTTGGAGTGTTCTCCTTTTTGGCGGGAATCCTTTGTTCTCCTTTGTGGAGAAAAGAAGGGGGTGGTTTCAGATGGTTTCTCCAACTGATTTTCGGCAATATATCCCAACATTTGTATGAGTTTGAAATGGATTGTCAAATGCAGTTTTACAGAGACTTAGTTTTTGTTAAGGAAAAAAACAGACCTACATGCTACTTATACACTTGGAATTCCTGTTATGCTGTGCATCTATCCTGATATTGTATTAATTTCTGTTCCAGATTGAAGATACACCACCCACCAACAACCACCTAGAAACAATGACAGGCCAGCTATACAAGCTTCCTTCTCACACAAATACAAAGCTGACTCTCAGGACCAGCAAGCTATGCCTTTTTTCATCGTAAATACTATACCTTTATATACCATGTGAACTAGCTGGTAGGAAAGCACTTCTGTTGTATCAATTGGAGTTTTTTTTTTCACAGAATTGACCTCAAATCTATTTATTTTATTATTCTATGTGAACTAGCTTTAAACAGCCAGCATTTGTGTTAAGTTCATAAGACACTTTTTTTTTATTTATTTGTTTTTTTTATCAGGTGTATTTTTTGTTTTAATGAAAGCATTTGTGTTTGTGTCTTTGAACCTAAACAATGTTCAAAATAAATATGCAAATATTGTCAGAACATCTCCCATGTCTGCATGTGTTCCTTAAAATTGTGTTTTTTTTATCAAAAAGATGAGAAAATGTTGAAATGTGAAATAATTTTAGGAAATGTGAAATATTATCTGCTGACAAAAAAGTAAAAGGTAAAATTATGTCCTGACTAAAACTAGACTAAAATGTTGACAGTACTAAAACTAAACGAATAAAATTATATTTTCTTGGACTAAAATAAAGACTAAAATGCTTGACTTATAGTCGACTAAAACTAGACTAAATAAAAATGGCATGATGTCGACTCAATGTGATAAAAACTAACAAGCGATGCTGAAACTGGACAAAAACTCAAACTACATTTAAAAATGGCATGTAAAATTAACACTAATAAGCATGATGTTGGTTTCCTCTCACTTTTAATGACCTCTTTCTACCCTTTTCTTCTTTAGAGAAGTAAAGCTGTCTGTGGTTTCCTATCTCACCAACTCCATTGTGGACCAAATCCTGCAAGAGCTCTATGCTACCCACAAGACCCTGGTAAACACTTACTCCTGACATGAAAGGGTGTGAAAGTGACAGTGATTGATTGTATGAGTGGGTGACAAAGAGTTTAAGAGTGCCGTGTGTCTCAGACCAGGCAGGTGTCTCATCTAAAATGCTGGGAGGGAACATGTGAAGATGGGACTGCGTGGAGTTTTAACAGACACACAGACTCTTTGGATATCACAGATGAAGAGCTCGGCGCCAGCATTGTGAGTGTGAACATTGTGTGTTGCTGTGGATGTATGTGTGTGTTTTTGCCATTTTTATCTTTCTGCAAATGTTTCATACCTATGTAAAACACCATCAAATATTTATTTCCCTATATATAATATTTATTAAAACCTTTTTTTTTTCTTTTATCAGTCTTGTGGCTGATTGTAGAAAACCCAAATGTGTTAAATTTCCAGCGTCAGTGAGGCATGTTAAAAGTACAGTGTTATTTTAACTTTATCTAGTCTTATTCTAATTTGAGATTATTCAACTAAGCGAGAGTTAATTCCTCTTAAGAGTTGGTGTTAATCTCTAGAATTGAATTTAAAAAATTTCCCCCAGAACTCTAACCTCTCTGTGAACTCTTAAAAATGCAGGCACTAACCACAACAGTAGTGGATTTTGGAGTTGTGACGTATGATGCAAAAGTTTGTCCTAAAAACTGGAAGGTGGCTGGTTTAAATCTTTTCTCAGTCATTGATTGTGTCCTTGGGCAAGACACTTCACCTGCATTGGACACTCATGTTGAGAAAGCCGCTTGGTAACTGTGTAACCCTCACTTCTGCCGGTGTGCCCCAGGGCGGCAGTGGCTATAGCGTAGCTTACAAACTATGATTAGTGAATGATTAACACTAACTTTTGACACTAGTGTTATATAAATTCAACCTCAATTATTGTTGAAGTCCAACTATTAAGAGTGTTTTTTCAACAGTTAAGTGTTTTAAGACTTTTCAAAGTGTCATTACAACTTGATTTAGTGTGGATCAATATAGAGACCTTTAGTGTTACTTTTGCTTCCATAGGATTTGATTTATCACTTCCAAATCTGCTGTGCAGCTGACTTTGCTTTCTCCTTAGGAATTATAAAAAATAAAACCTATATAGTACACAAATCTTTTTTAATATTCTCTTACTGTCCTCTTGTTACTGTGAATGTTTTTGTTTCATGTGAAACTCTCTCTACTGTACGTTGCATCAAACCATCTAATGCAGTTGAATTTTTTATTGGTTCAAATTATACATGCTTTTATCATTGTAGTCCAGTGGATATAAAACATAGTCACACAGGGACACCCCTTTAGTGGCCTATCCTTACCCCCAGTGCTTTGTTTGCACAGGCAATGGGCATTTCTGAGGTAAAAATTAAGTGTGTTAAATTTCCTGTGTTTTTATTTTGAAAGTACAGTGTTAATTCAGGACTTGTTTAGTCCAATTTGGACTGCAAAAGCTAGTTTATACAACAAGTCGTTCAACTTAAGCAACATCATTACTTACAGTTAGTGTTCATTCTTGTCACGGTCTACAGGCACGAATGGACAAAACAGAGCAGTAGGCACAGTTAGATGGTTTATTTTACTCTTGATCAGACAGGCAAGGGTCAGATCCGTGAAACCAGTCAGAGTTTAGGGCAATCCTTGAATCAGTGGTCGGGCAGGCAGGAGGTCGTCACCAGGGAATCCAAGATAACAGACGAGGGTGACGGTCCAGATAATCAGACGAGACACTGGGGGGGGAGAAAACAGGCAGGTTTAGGAGACAGAACAAACTTGGCTTAGTCAAAACTAGACTTGAGCTGACAGATGGCCTGAGAGTGTTTACCACTAGGGGTTAGACAACAATCTGATGGCGAGCAGGTGTAGGCTCCGTCCTTATCTTGGGCCCGCTGCTGATCAGGGAATGACCTGCAGGTGTGAGGGTCACAGCAGCTGATGTGACAGGTCCCCTCCGCCAAGGCGCCCGGTGGCATTTTGTCCTCTTGTGGAGGTCCCGGATGAGCTGAGGATCTAAGATGGCAGAACGTGGTTCCCAGCTGCGTTCCTCCGGGCCGTAACCCTCCCAGTCTACCAAGTATTGGAAACCACGTCCACGGCGGTTAACATCCAGCAGACATCGCACTGTGTATGCAGGGGCGTCATCAACGATCCTGGGGGATGGGGGTTGTGTAACAGGAGGAGACAAGGGACTGGACAGGACTGGTTTTACTCGGGAAACATGAAAAGATGGGTGGATCCTCATTGTCCTGGGGAGGTTAAGGCGAACGGTTACAGGGTTTATGATTTGGTCTATAGTGAAGGGTCCAACAAACCTGGGTGTGAGTTTCTTGCAAGTGTCTTTCAGTGGCAAGTTCCTGGTGGACAACCAGACCTCCTGTCCTGGTTGATAGTTGGGGACTGGGTGTCTGTGACAGTTGGCAAGACAGCGGTTTCTTTCTGTGGTTCTGGAGAGTGCTGCTCGAGTTCTTCGCCAAACCCTGTGACACCTTCGAAGGTGATGCTGAACTGAGGGGACAGCGAGTTCCCGCTCCTGAGAGGGAAAAAGAGGGGGTTGATAACCCAGTGAAGCTTCAAACAGGGACATACCTGTAGGAGAGCTGGTAAGCGAGTTGTGGGCATATTCTACCCATGGTAAGTATTGGGACGTGGAAGTTGGTTTGTCCAAGATGATACAAGGGAGGGCAGCTTCTAGGTCTTGGTTCACCCATTCCGTCTGACTATTGTTTTGTGGGTGGAAACCAGAAGAGAGGCTAACTGTGGCTCCTAGAGCTTGGCAGAAAGCTCGCCACACCCTGAAGGTGAACTGTGGTCCTCGGTCCGAAACTATGTCTAGTGGGATGCCATGGAGCCGGACCACATGAAGAACAAGGAGGTCGGCAGTCTCTGCAGCAGTGGGCAGCTTGGGAAGGGGGACAAAATGTGCAGCTTTAGAGAAGCAATCTACTATGGTTAGAATGACTGCATTACCTTGGGAGAGAGGGAGACCAGTAACAAAGTCCAATGAGATGTGGGACCAGGGTCTGCTTGGGGTAGGTAGCGGCTGAAGGTAACCGGAGGGTGGCTGGACTTCCCACGATAACAGACTGTACAGGAAGAGACAAATTTACTGGTGTCCTGAACCATTGACGACCACCAAAAGTGCATCTTTAGTCGGTCAGTGGGACAGTTTCTGGGAGTGGGCTGTTCTTGTTGGGCCTGCCTCACTATCTATTCGATCTCCCAGGAGAGGTTAGCCACCACAATAGAGGTTGGCAGAATGGTCTTAGGTTCCTCTCTGGGTAAATTGGGGTCGAACTTACGAGACAATGCATCAGGTTTGGTGTTTTTAGAGCCTGGTCTGTAGGTTAGAATAAAGTTGAACCGGGAGAAGAACAAGGACCAACGGGCATGACGGGGTGTTAACCTTTTAGCAGTCTGTATATAAGACAGATTCTTGTGGTCTGTCCAGACTAAAAAGGGTTGGGAGGAACCCTCCAGCCAATGGCGCCTTTCCTCCTCCAGGGCCAGTTTAACAGCAAACAGCTCATGGTCTCCCACACTGTCATTTTGTTCGTCCTCTGTTAATCGCTTTGAAAAGAAAGCACAGGGAAACAACTGTTTTGCAGGATTGCCATACTGGGACAGAACCGCTCCTACCCCAGTCTCAGAAGCATCCACCTCAACTACAAACTGTTTACAAGGATCTGGCTGGATAAGGACTGGTGGGGAGGTGAACAACTGTTTTAATGCCTTGAAAGCTGCAGCTGCCTCTGGTGACCACACAAATGGTTGATTGGTGGATGTGAGTTTGGTCAGTGGTTGGGCCACAAGACTGTAGTCCTTGATAAACTTGCGGTAAAAATTGGCAAAACCCAGGAAACGCTGGAGATGTTTACGGGTATTGGGTTCTGGCCACTCCACAACTGCTTTGGTCTTGGCTGGGTCTGATCTAATCTGTCCCTCTCCAATAATAAAACCCAGGAAATGCACGGTAGAACAATGAAAGTTGCATTTCTCTGCCTTGACAAATAGTTTGTTCTCCAGCAGTCGTTGGAGAACTTGCCTAACGTGACAGACATGCTCTTCCTTGGTCTTGGAGAAGATTAATATGTCGTCTAGGTAGACAAACACAAAATGGTTCAGGAAGTCCCTGAGCACGTCATTCACTAGAGCCTGGAAGACAGCTGGGGCATTAGTTAGACCAAACGGCATCACCAAATACTCAAAATGGCCTACAGGGGTCTTAAAAGCAGTCTTCCATTCGTCCCCATCATGGATGCGAACCAAATAATATGCATCACGCAAATCTAGTTTTGAAAATATAGATGCACTGTGAAGCAGTTCAAATGCTGAAGACATGAGGGGCAACGGATACTTATTTTTAATGGTAATGTCATTCAGGGCCCTATAATCAATACAAGGACGTAAGGTGCCATCCTTTTTGCCAACAAAGAAGAACCCTGCCCCTAAAGGGGATGAAGAGCGGCGAATAAGACCAGCCGCCAGGGATTCATTTATGTAACTCTTAGGGCTGGGCGATATAGAAAAAAAGCTTATCGATAAAAAAAAATGCATATTGATCGATATCGATAATTATTGAAAAGATTTGAAACCATATTTTATGTGCAGCTCTGCCTGGACTTTTTATAATATTGCTAAATGATTTAATTTTAATAAAAAACACAAACACAGACTTCTAATTAAATCTTTATTTAATCAACTTTTTTAACCATAACAATTGTTTTAAAGAAAAATTACTTAAGAGACCTGGGTTATGTTATTAAATACTGACAAAGAATAAACTAAAGTGACCAGAAAAGTGACCAAAATAAATATAACAAATAAATAAATGCCCCCCCACCGCCGCCCCCGTTTCCTGCTTTAACCTGAGTTATTACTTTGAAGTTTCTGGCCCCTCAGCATTTTTATCTCAATTGTTAGAACTACGTGGGAAACTGCCCAGAACTGAAAATATATATATATTTTCCGAAGATTCCTCGGAGGAGAGCCGCGCGGGGGCCTACACAGCTCTCACTCCTGCGGCTGTGAGCGGCTGAGATGATAAAAAAAAAAAAGTTGGTTGCGTTATCAGACTTCGTTTTCACTGGTTCCCTACACATTTTCCAGATGACTGTGGTTTGTTTTTGGTCCGACTTGCCATGACCGAAATACTGCCAGACTGCCGAACTACAAAAACCCTTCTTTGAAACAATTTCCTCCGCCTCTCCTTGCTGCGACATCTTCAT